GGGACAGGGAATGATTGACAGGGGACAGGGGACAGGGACAGGGGACAGGGCAAGAGGCCAAGGCTGGGGGACCAGGGGCAGGAAGCAGGCGGATGAAAAAGGGAACAGGAAAAGGGAACAGGAAAAAGGGAACTGGGACAGGTGACAGTGACAAGGACAGTGACAAGGACAGTGACAATGACACCGGTCACGTGACCCCGGCCACGTGACCCGCCCTCCCCTCGGCGCCCCCTGGCGGACCGTACCCCCTCCACCTTTCCCCCGCCTTAAATCTCGCGAGATCTCCCGCGGTGGGGTGGGGCGCGGGGGGGGCTCCACCGCGGCCGCGCCGCAAATCTCGCGAGAACTCGAGCGGCACGGCCGGGCTGAGGCGGAAGCGCCGCTTTGCCGCCATTGCCGGCTCCCTTCGGCCTCTGCCCACGGAACCGGCGCCGGCAGCGGCGCCGGCACCGGGCCCGGCCCGCGGCGCCGCGGGTCCGCCATGGAGGCGAACGCAGCCAAGCGGAAGGAGCCGCGCAAGGCGTTGCGGGTTAAAGTCATCTCCATGGGCAACGCCGAGGTGGGCAAGGTGAGGCGCTGCGATTGGCTGGCGGACGGTGAAGGGCAGCTGGGTTGACCAATCAAGAGCGCGGGAGGGTGGGCGCTTTGCGCTGATTGGCGCGCGGTAGCCAATCAGCAGCCGGCAGAGCCTTGTTGTTGCCGCTGGGTGGGCGGGGCTTTGTGAGGTGATTGATAGATGTGTGGGCGGTGCTTCAGGAACATGCGCTGTTCTGATTGGCTGGCGGGGAAGGGGGCGGGGCCTGCCGCTGGTACGGTGGGGAAGGCGCCGTTCCCAAATCCTGGAATTGTTGGGAATTGGCGGGAAATGCGGCTCCGGAGGAATTGCCGTGGGAATTGCCGCGGGAATTCCCGGTTTTCTGCCGGCCAGAGCTGCATCATCAAGCGGTACTGCGAGAAGAGGTTCGTGCCCAAGTACCTGGCCACCATCGGCATCGACTACGGCGTCACCAAGTGAGAGCGGGAATGTGGGAATGGTGGGAATGTGGGAATGGTGGGATTGGAGTGGGGATGGGAATGATGGGATTGGGAATTATGGGATGGGAATGTGGGAATGGGAATGATGGGAATGGGATGGGAATGATGGGCATGGGATGGGAATGATGGGATGGGAATGGGAATGATGGGAATGGGATGGGAATGATGGGCATGGGATGGGAATGATGGGATGGGAATGGGAATGATGGGAATGGGATGGGAATGATGGGCATGGGATGGGAATGATGGGATGGGAATGGGAATGATGGGAATGGGATGGGAATGATGGGAATGATGGGAATGGGAATGATGGGATGGGAATGATGGGATTGGGAATTATGGAACGGGAATGATGGGAATGGAATGGGATGGGAATGGGATGGAATGGGATGGGAATTATGGGATGGGAATGAGGTGGGATGGGAATGGGAATGATGGGAATGATGGGAATGATGGGAATGATGGGAATGGGAATGATGGGAATGATGGGAATGATGGGAATGATGGGAATGGGATGCGAATGATGGGAATGATGGGAATGGGAATGATGGGAATGGGATGGGAATGATGGGAATGATGGGAATGGGATGGGAATGATGGGAATGGGATGGGGATGGGAATGTGGCAGGAACGGGAATGATGGGAATGGGAATGGGTTTGGAAATGGGAATGATGGGATTGGGATGGTGAAAATGGAATGGGGATGGGGAGGGCAATGGGAATAACGGGATTGAGACTGGGAATAACAGGAACGGGATTGGGAATGGGAAAGGGAATGGGAACGGGAATGATGGGAATAACGGGACTGAGACTGGGAATAACAGGAATGGGATTGGGATTGGGTTTGGGTCTGGAATAATGGGATTGGCATGGGAATGGGAATAATTCCCATGACGGGAATGGGATGGGGTTGGGAACGGGAATGGGGCGGGAATGGGAATAGGAATAATGGGATTGGGTTTGGGAATGGGATTGGGAAAAATGGGAAGGGGAACGGGGGACCAGGAGCAGCCCCTGCAGGTCGGAGCCGGGCGGGATCGGAATTCCTTCCTGGAAAATCGGGATGGGATGAGAGGGAACAGCCGAGAGCTTTTCCGGAGGAAAATCCCATTTTCCCAGGAATTTGGGAATGGTTCCCGCCCGGATCGGGGCTGGGAATTCCTGGGAATTTTTTTTCCCGGCTGGGCCATCCCGGAATTCCGGGATTTTCCCAGGGTGCAGATCCGGGATCGGGAGATCAAGGTGAACATTTTCGACATGGCCGGACACCCCTTCTTCTACGAGGTCAGAATTCCCAAAGTTCCCCCCGGAAAGCCGGGAATCCTTTCCCTGGCGTTTTCCCAACTTCTTCTCCCAAGTTTTTTCCCAGGGAATTCCCTCCATTCCCAGCCTGGGGTTGGATCCGGCCCCATCCCAAGGGAAGGGATTTTGGGAATTCCCTGGGAATTGGGGACTGCGGGAAGGGTCTCCCTATCCCAGAATTCCATAAAAATCCCTCGGGATGGATCCCGAGCGCCCTGGATCCCGGAATCCCGGAATGGCTTCAGTAATTCCCAAATAATTCCCAGAATAATTCCCAAAAAATTCCCGAATAATTCCTGAATATTTCCCCAGTAATTCCCAAACAATTCCCGGCTGATTCCTAAATAATTCCCGAGTAATTCCAGGTTCATTCCGGATCCAATCCCAGGCTGGGAATGGAGGGAATTCCCTGGGAAAACAGGGAGGGATTTGGGATTTGGGAAGGAATTCCTGGGGTATCCCAAAAAAAAAACCCCAAATCCCAGAAAATCCCCGGATTTCCTTTCCCGAATTCCATTAAAAATCCCTGGGGATGGATTCTGAGCCTCCTGGATCCCGGAATTCCTCGGGATGGGATCCAGGGATTTCCAATCCCACCCCATTCCCAGCCCGATCCGGCTTTTCCAGGAATCCACCAGCTCCTCCCCCAAACCCCCAATTCCCGCTGGGAATTCTGCTCCCGGCATCCCAAAAAACCCCAAAACTCCCCTCCCCCCACTCCATTTTCCATCCCCTCAGCTCCGATTTTTCCAGGGAATTTTTTTCCCTCCCCATCCCACAAATCCCAGATTTCCCAGGGGTGATTTTTCCTGGGATTCCGGTTTTTTCCCAGGATTGGATTTTTTTTTTTCCCGGGATTTTTGTTGTTTTATTCCTGGGATTTGTGTTTTATCCCGGAATTCAGTTTTCCCCAGGATTCATTTTTTTCTCAGGATTCATTTTTTCCTGGGATTTGTTTCTTCCCGGGATTTCTTTTCCCAGAATTCTTTTTTTTCCCAGGATTCATTTCTTTTCCCCAGAATTCACTTTTTTCCCGGGATTTGTGTTGGCTTTTTCCCCAGAATTCAGTTTTCCCTGGATTTGTGTGTTGTTTTTTCCCAGAATTCCATTTATTTCCTGGGGATTTGTGTTGTTTTTTCCCAGAATTTTTCCCGGGATTTGTGTTGCTTTTTCCCCAGAATTCAGTTTCTTCCTGGTGTTTGTGTTGTTTTTCCCGGGATTTGTGTTCTTTTTTTCCCGGAATTTGTTTTTTCCCAGGATTTGTGTTCTTTTTTCCCAGAATTCACTTTTTTTCCCAGGGTTTGTATGTTGTTTTTTCCTGGGATTTGTGCTGTTTTTCCCCAGAATTCACTTTTTTTTCTGGGATTTGTGTTGCTTTTTTCCCGGGATTTGTGTTCTTTTTCCCCGGAATTTTTCCCGGGATTCATGTTGTTTTTTCCCTGGGATTCGTTCTGTTTTTTCCCTGGGATTCGCGTTGCTTTTCCCAGAATTTGTGCTGTTTTCCCCCCAGAATTCCCTTTTCCCCGTGAATTTGTGTAGTTTTCCCCGGGAATTCCATGTATTCCCGCGGAATTCGCGTCGTTTTCCCCAGGAATTCCATTTATTCCGCGGAATTCGCGTTGTTTTCCCCCGGAATTCCATGTATTCCCGCGGAATTCGCGTCGTTTTCCCCGGGAATTCCATTTATTCCCGCGGAATTCGCGTCGTTTTCCCCCGGAATTACATTTATTCCCGCGGAATTCGCGTCGTTTTCCCCGGGAATTCCATTTATTCCCGCGGAATTCGCGTCGTTTTCCCCCGGGAATTCCATGTATTCCCGCGGAATTCGCGTCGTTTTCCCCGGGAATTCCATTTATTCCGCGGAATTCGCGTCGTTTTCCCCCGGAATTCCATTTATTCCCGCGGAATTCGCGTCGTTTTCCCCGGGAATTCCCTCCATCCCCGCCTCCGGGGTGTCCCGGCAGGTGCGGAACGAGTTCTACAAGGACACGCAGGGGGTGCTGCTGGTGTACGACGTGGGATCCAAGGAATCCTTCGATTCCCTGGATTCCTGGCTGGCCGAGATGCGCCAGGAGCTGGGGCCCCACGCCAGCCTGGACAACGTCGTCGTCGTCGTCTGCGCCAACAAGGTGTCGCTTCCCGACGTTCCCCACGCGCATTCCCGCTCCTTCCCACGGAATTAACCCAGATTGCGCAGAGTTTGCCCACATTTTTCACGGATTTTTCACGGATTTTTCCCAGAATTTTCAGATTTTGCCCAGATTTTTCCCGGATTTTGCCCAGATTTTGCCCGGATTTTTCCCAGATTTTTCCCAGATTTTTCCCAGATTTTTCCCGGATTTTTCCCAGAATTTTCAGATTTTTCCCAGATTTTTCATGGATTTTTCCCAGATTTTTCCACGAATTTTCAGATTTTTCCTGGATTTTTCTCAGATTTTTCCCGGATTTTTCCCAGAATTTTCAGATTTTTCCCCGATTTTCCCCAGAATTTTCCCGGATTTTTCCAAGATTTTTCCCAGATTTTCCCCAGATTTTTTCCCAAATTTTTCCCAAATTTTTCCCAAATTTTTCCAAGACTTTTCCCAGATTTTTCCCAGATTTTCCCCGGATTTTTCCCAGATTTTTCCCAGATTTTTCCCAGAATTTTTGGTTTTTTTCCCGGATTTTTCCCGGATTTTTCCTGGATTTTTCCCAGAATTTTCAGATTTTTCCCAGATTTTTCCCAGATTTTTCATGGATTTTTCCTGGATTTTTCCCAGATTTTTCCACGAATTTTCAGATTTTTCCTGGATTTTTCTCAGATTTTTCCCGGATTTTTCCCAGAATTTTCAGATTTTTCCCAGATTTTTCCCGGATTTTTCCCAGAATTTTCCCAGATTTTTCCAAGATTTTCCCCAGATTTTTTCCCAAATTTTTCCCAAATTTTTCCCAAATTTTTCCAAGACTTTTCCCAGATTTTTCCCAGATTTTCCCCGGATTTTTCCCAGATTTTTCCCAGATTTTTCCCAGAATTTTTGTTTTTTTTCCTGGATTTTTCCCGGATTTTTCCCGGATTTTTCCCAGAATTTTCAGATTTTTCCCAGATTTTTCCCAGATTTTTCATGGATTTTTCCCGGATTTTTCCCAGATTTTTCCACGAATTTTCAGATTTTTCCTGGATTTTTCTCAGATTTTTCCCGGCTTTTTCCCAGAATTTTCAGATTTTTCCCAGATTTTGCCCAGATTTTTCCCAAATTTTTCCAAGATTTTTCCCAAATTTTTCCCAGATTTTTCCCAGAATTTTTGGTTTTTTTACCGGATTTTTCCCAGATTTTTCCCAGATTTTTCCCAGAATTTTCAGATTTTTCCCAGATTTTTCCCGGATTTTTCCTGGATTTTTCCCGGATTTTTCCTGGATTTTTCTCAGATTTTTCCCAGATTTTTCCCAGAATTTTTGGTTTTTTTCCCAGATTTTTCCCCGATTTTTCCTCAGATTTTTCCCATACTTTTTTCCAGATTTTTTCCTCGATTTTTCCTAGAATTACCAGATTTTTCCAAGATTTTCCCCAGTTTTTTCCCAGAATTAGTGGATTTTTCCCGGAGTTTTCCCAGATTTTTCCCATACTTATTCCCAGATTTTCCCCAGATTTTTCCCAGATTTTTTCCTAGATTTTCCCCAGATTTTTCCCAGATTTTTCCCAGAAATCTTGGATTTTTCCCATACTTTTTCTCAGATTTTTCCCAGATTTTTCCCAGATTTTTCCCAGATTTTTCCCGGATTTTCCCCAGATTTTTCCCAAGATTTTCCCAGAACTTCCAGATTTTTCCAAGATTCCCCCAGAATTCCCAGATCTGTTTTTCCCACATTTCCCGGTGCTGGGGGCTTGCACTTCTCCCATCCCCCATCCCCCCATCCACAGCATTCCCGGCCCCATTCCCGGTGCCATTCCCGGTGCCATTCCCGGTGTTCCCAGCCCCATTCCCGGGGTCATTCCCGGTGTTCCCAGCCCCATTCCCGGTGTCATTCCCAGCCCCATTCCCAGGGTCATTCCCGGTGTTCCCAGCCCCATTCCCGGGGTCATTCCCAGCCCCATTCCCGGGGTCATTCCCGGTGTTCCCAGCCCCATTCCCGGTGTTCCCAGCCCCATTCCCGGTGTCATTCCCGGTGTTCCCAGCCCCATTCCCATGCCCATTCCCGGTGTTATTCCCGGTGTTCCCAGCCCCATTCCCGGTGTCATTCCCGGTGTTGCTAGCCCCATTCCCGGTGTTCCCAGCCCCATTCCCATGCCCATTCCCGGTGTTATTCCCGGTGTTCCCGGCCCCATTCCCGGTGTCATTCCCAGCCCCATTCCCGGTGTTATTCCCAGCCCCATTCCCAGCCCCATTCCCGGGGTCATTCCCAGCCCCATTCCCGGTGTTCCCAGCCCCATTCCCGGTGTTCCCAGCCCCATTCCCGGTGTTTTCCCGGCGCAGGTGGAGGCGGGCCGGGCGCGGGCGGTGGACGAGAGCGAGGGGCGGCTCTGGGCCGAGAGCCGCGGGTTCCTCTACTGCGAAACCTCGGCCCAGAGCGGGGAGGGCATCCAGGAGATGTTCCAGGTGCCGGGAATGATAGGGAATGCGGGAATCTGGGAATGCTGGGATGGCTGGGGGGATGAGAGGGATCCAGGAGACGTTCCAGGTGCCGGGAATGACACGGGAATGCGGGAATCTGGGAATGCGGGAATGGGAACTGAGGATTTGGGGATTGGGAATTGGGATGAGAGGGATCCAGGAGATGTTCCAGGTGCCGGGAATGACGGGAATGACGGGAATCTGGGAATTGGGATGAAGAGAGGGATGAAAGGGCATCCAGGAGATGTTCCAGGTGCCGGGAATGATAGGGAATGCGGGAATCTGGGAATGCTGGGATGGCTGGGGGGATGAGAGGGATCCAGGAGACGTTCCAGGTGCCGGGAATGACACGGGAATGCGGGAATGCGGGAATGGCTGGGGGGATGAGAGGGATCCAGGAGATGTTCCAGGTGCCGGGAATGAGCCAGAATTCCCAGCGGGATTCTGGGATTCGGAACGGTTGGGGGTTGGGAATGGGGAGTTGGAGTTTGGGGATTGGGGATTGGGGATTGGGAATTGGGGATTGGGGATTTGGGAATCGGGGATTTGGGAATTGGGGATTGGGGATGTGGGAATCGGGGATTTGGGGTTTGGGAATGTGGGAATTGGGAATGTGGGAATTGGGAATTTGGGAATTGGGAATTGGGAATTTGGGAATGTGGGAATTGGGGAATGTGGGAATTGGGAATCGGGGATTTGGGGTTTGGGAATGTGGGAATTGGGAATGTGGGAATTGGGAATGTGGGAATTGGGAATTTGAGAATGTGGGAATTTGGGAATGTGGGAATTGGGGAATGTGGGGATTTGGGAATTGGGGGTTTGGGAATTGGGTGGGAATTCAGGATGAGGGGGATGGATGAGATCGACCCAGGAGATTTCCCGGGTGGAAATTCCCGGAAGGAATCCGGGTGGGAACAGCGGGAGATGTGGGAATTGGGGAATGTGGGAATTGGGGAATTGGGAATTGGGGAATGTGGGAATTGGGGAATTGGGAATTGGGGAATTGGGAACGTGGGAATTGGGGATTGGGAATGTGGGAATTGGGGAATTGGGAATTGGGGAATGTGGGAATTGGGAATTTGGGAATTGGGAATTGGGGAATGTGGGAATTGGGAAGGTGGGAATTGGGAATTGGGGATT